TTTAACAGCTCCACTGGTGCACACATGTTGTCACAAACTGTGCACACATGTCTTTTAATAGCTTTGGGAGCTAAGCACACCAAACTGGAAATAATTCTAGAGAATTCTGCTTTGCATCTAATGCATTTCTGCTGATGTAAAATCGCCCTGTCTGTGCATAGGACATCTGGGAAATCCTGTTGGCCCTCATGTTACCAAGGGGCATCCTTCACACTACATCATCCAGTCACCACGTGCTGTAACACCACCTAGCTGTGGGCTGCCATCGCGGTCTTCCTCTGCTGAGCCTAGTGATTGAGTTCGTCGTTGCTTTCGTTGTTACACTCTGCTTCCCCTGCTGTTCTGGCAAAGCAGCGCCACCCAGTCTGTCTTGAATTTCCCATTAAGACCCAATTAGGCTGTAATAGGGGATAGAAGCCACAGGAGTAAACCCTTCTGTCCCGCAGCTTTCAGAAAGAATGCGTTAATGGACAGCCTAGTGTGTGCAGTAATGTGTAGTCAGGTACACTCGTTTACAGGTTTCATTTTCTGCACCATTACGACTCGCCCTAGTGAATCTTTAAATGGAACTTTGCAAACCAAGCACAGCAGACAGAGTAAACCTACCAGGCTGGATGCCGATAACAGTTTGTTTAGGCTCATGTGTTTAGCTACAAGTGGTTCGACATGAGATATATATTTATTCACAACAGCCAGCATCACTCATCCATTAGCCTTGCTCCTTGGCATTGTCCTAGGGAAGGAAGTGTTTTCCTTTTGCTTATCTTCACTTTTGAAATGAAATTTTGTGCAGACTTGAACTGCTGGATGTACTGTATCTGTGTGAAATTTAATACATTAATTTCCTTCTCATTATTGTAGTAACTCTACTGTCATAAGGTAGTGTTATTACAAAATCCATCCATCCATTCTGAGCCTGTCCTAGCTGCCACTGGGCGATTGGGCAGTCTGCCAGTCTATCGCAGACTCTCAGACACTTTAGCATTACCGATTAACCTAACTCTACTCACCCGAAGAGAACCCACACAGACATAGGGAGAAGATGCAAGCTCCACGCAGAAAGGCTTTGGACAGATGGTGAACCTTACTGTAAAGCAACAGTGCTAACCCCAGCACTATCATGCTTTTTACAAAATACCTGCAAAATTGATAATAATCCTCTTTAGCAGTACTCGAACACAATGCTAGTAGCCTAGTGTTAGGTTACTTTAGCATCAGTGTAAGCAACACATCTGTACATTTACAAACGTGCCATCTCTAACACTGGTTTACCATTTCTTAGACCATTTTCATTCAGTGCAGCTCTAAACTTTTCAAGAAATTGAGCTGCAAAGACCCGATGCAGTTACATAGGACATCAAACAGTCTTTAAGCCGCCAGCTCCCTAGTACAAAGTGCTAACTTGGACAAACATGTATTTATTTGTCTTTTTGTTCTGAGTGTTTTCCATTATCTGGGAACATTAAGCCATGGTTCACCCTTTGAAAAGCTGATGTGAAATACACAATTGATGTGCAGCTGAATGTTTGTCCTAGTTGCCATCACTCATTCATGCCGTAGATGAGGGAATAAAGCAAAAGGGGAAAACAAGAGGATTATCCTTCAGGATCAGCTGTGTGTGGGTGGATGTGAGTAAGTACTGCAAGTGCAGTCTCCCTCTTTCACTCTCTCCACTCATGTCTGTCAACCCCTCTGTTATCCTTGTGTGTCCTTGGGTAACATACTAACTACTGACCTGTAGTCAGTGTGTTGGAGGTAACTAAGTATATGGTGTCGAGGTCGCAAAGCTCCTGTATCAGATTTACTCTCAATGCTGAATATGTTGTATTCCACACCCCCATATAGATTGTTAACTTCTCCTTACTTGAGTGTTTCACACATGAAAATGTTGTTAAACTTTGCTGTTTGTGTGAGCTGTTACCCCAAAGTTAGTCATCCAAGCCCAAACTGTGATTGTCCATCTAAAAAATAAATTAATTCGTTAAACAAAAAAACAAAACAAGGAAAAATGAACCCTTCAACATGTAATTTTCCTGTAAATCATAATTTATTTTTAGATAAATAACATATGTCTTCACAAATTTAGCACTTACAGCAGTGTAGCTGATTTCTGCAAGATCTGAAAAGGAAGCGTTTCTCTTAGACCAGTAATGGTGTAAAGCCTCAGCAGGCTGACATGGAAGAAAGTGGCAAAGCAATCTCACGAGGAGCCCGAATGAGTCTCTGTTGCATTAGTCCAGAGGCCAGTGTCAAACTGACTGAAATGACATTGATCACTGTGGCGCCTCACTGCGCGATACTGTCAGCTCTCGCTGAGATACGGGTCATGCATCTCCTTTTACTGATGATTTATTTCTCTGGGTTCAAGCTCTTTTCATTCGTTCTACGTTTGACTATATTTTTCACGATCGAAAAAAATCGGAGGGATGTTCTCAGGACTGGTACTTTTTCTCATAGGATAAGAGATGCTTTCCTGCATCCAGGGAATATATATTGGCAAGTGTTCAAATAGATGCAGGGAAAAAAATTTAATGAAGACTAGCCTGGATAGTGTTATTAATCCAAATCCACTTAAAGGGTTTTCTAACTGAAATGAATTTACAGGACAGCACAAGTTGAGAATGAGCAGGATGCACTGTGTGTTCTTGGAAAAATGGCAGTCTTCCAGATTTCTCTCTAGCAGAGAGTACTTCCGAAGCCTCATGTTGTATGTGTGAAATTAATGAATGTATGCAAGTGACTGGGAGCCTACCCTGTATACCGTATGCGGATGCTGCTGTAATATTTAAAGTGATCTGTGCCTTATCACATGCCCTACACATTATATCAGTAGCGATGATATGCCAGCCATATGTTTACCCTATGCATCATGCGTATGTTTGCACTGGGCTCTTGCTATTTACTGCTGTGTACACATATATATGAAAAAGGGAGGCAACTGCTTTTGCTTGTTTAACAGATCACATAAAGAAAAAAATGCTTTACTTAACACCTGCAGATATTTACTTAAGAAGTTTGCGCCCACTCCAGGTTGATGCTGTATTTTATGTGCTGAAAGGGAGTGTTAAGTGAAATGGACTTGTAATTGTCACATACCATTTTGCTGCTTAGTTGAACTGGACTGAAGGAAGGATACCTTAAGTAATGTCAGCTCACTCCACCTGACCACTATTTATAGTGTTGCAAATGTAGCATTATTTTCCTCAGCCTATTTTACCTGTAGCAACTCTACTTTTATCTACTTTTATCTACCAACACATTTGCCTGTTTTGGCTTGCATAAATGTTAAGTTTTGTTCTCCACATTCCCTTATTTGAGTATCCAAATTTCCCCCAAATTTACAATGGTTACCAGTGGGATGAATGTCGATGAGGCTCTGATAAAAACGATGGATGCTGCATTTACTTGAAAGGTAGGAAGGGATGTGTAAATGCAAATATCGGTCCAGTGTTCATGAATGACAAATGCAAATGAAGAACAATAGCTGGGGTGTTATTTTAGTTCTGTCTTACAATACTAGCCACATGTCATAATGCATACAGTGTTTATATTTATATATATTGCATGTTAACAAGCTCATTATTTTTTATGATATAATATATAATACAGTAGTGACATTTGAGGGTCTTACTGTATCTGTAATTGCATTAAAGATGCAAATCACATTGAGTCATTTTAATTGATAGATGGAATTCATTCATTCACCACTATCCTAAAATCAAAAGTAAGCCTTCCACTTGAGTATAATTTAATTTTATGTTAATATAATCATGTGGCAAATGTGAATGTGCTATGTGAGTAGCTCTGTGCATTGCAACACTGTGCCAGATCAGTTTACAGCCTGTAAAATGCTTACATTACAAGAGTGTTCATACTCTAAGGGAGCTGTGGATGACAATATTTAAGGCATGTCAGAAACATTAGGCAGATTTTTTTTGCACCAAAATATTAGAGTTGGATAAAAAAAAAAAGGTTTATTTGCACATGCTACAACTAAGATTATGTTGCTTTATACAATGGAAAATACTAGCAGAATCAAGTATGGAGGTTTGTCTTCCATGTAGGAAAAATAATAATAAATCCAACAAGTAGTTCTACAATTTTTACAGAGATGTGAGTCATACTCTTCCAGACTTACACACAGACTTACACACAGTTGTGCACTCTCATTCCCCCCATTAAACCCTAATTTCTTTCATACATTGAGTGATCTAATAATCATGTGGAGAGCCTGGAACAATGAACAAATTTAATAGAATAATAATGAAATGAAAGGCTTACACATATGTGCACAAACAGTTTGATAGGTTAGCAAAGGACCAACAAATCCTAAGACACTTCTGTATGGCGTATTTTCAGACACTTCATAATATTTTTATTGGAGTAGATGGAGTAGATTTTATTTTGAGAAATATTATATTGTAGTAAAGAGTCATGGATAATTATTTGAGTAAGCTGCACTGCATTTCCTACATTGGCACTCTTGAATTTATGAGCTGATCTTTAACAATAGCAAATTATTAAAAAGTTGTTGCAAATTGATCGGCTTGTCACCTTCAGTTGAACCATAGAATAACCAGTGATTGCCGTCTGTTAAGAATCAGCAGCGTATTATCTGCTGAGTGATTCCTCTGAGGTATTAGGTTGACTCATTTTGTCCTTCATTGATGACGTAGAATGCCTTTTTAACGCAGTGCTATCCGAGTGCTGATTTTCCACCTCGTCCCTTGCGCACAGAGATTTCTCCAGATTCTTTGACTCTTTTGATGATATGTAGTGTAAATAATGAGATATTCAAAGGTTTCCCTCTAAAATTGTAGATTTCTTTTTGGATCTGCAAACACTTGTTTCAGTATTTAATTTGCAATTGGCCTTTCTGGATTTGAATACTTGTACTGCGATAAATTACTCTCTTTGTGCCCAGTGTTTAAGTAAAATGAACAGTATATGTTCTCAGTGGTTGTCAACCATTTATTTTCTTACTCTTTTGGTCTTTGCAGGATCCCAGAACTAAGCACAAGTTCAAGATCCACACCTATGGGAGCCCCACCTTCTGCGATCACTGTGGCTCTCTGCTCTACGGCCTCATTCACCAGGGCATGAAGTGCGACTGTGAGTAATTAAGTTTAAGGGAAAAGTTTAAGAGAAAATGAACATGTGTGACTCTACACTGATTATGTTGTAGTTTAAAGCCATTTTTTCAGAATGACTCTTGTCAAAAAATATCATATGGGGATCTGTTCCCCTCCTCCTGACTTTGACTCATTAAAATTACACATTGTCTCTCTTCACTGTGCGGCCGTGTTTGCTGCACCTTCATAATAAGCCTCGTATCAAAGCTTTTCTGAGTCTTTATTAATATTTCTTCCTTAGTCTTCCCTTTAATCTTGCATTAGTGGATTAACGTCTGAAAGCCTTAATGAGCTCCTGCATTATCTGCTACATACTCAGAATGGCAGTTATGATTGCTCCAGGGTGTACAAAAATAGAGATGTGGAAATTATATTTTAGCAGATCAGCCACACCTCTAGTCACGCCACTATGTGATTACACATTTTGGTAGTTTTAAGCACTGTTAACACAAGGGTGTGCCAGGGAGGTACAAATAATACAACAGTCCCAAGGAAGAATGTGTCAGCATCACAACTGGTTTTCATTTATTTTCACCTTCTGACCTGATGACGTGATGATGCAACTGTTCCCAATCCATGAAACGACAGCTCAGCTGACTGACACACATGTATAAATATGGGTCATAACCTTGTTAACTGCTCTTCAAAAAAAT